AATCCCAGGATCGGCAGGCAAGATGGCAGGTAAGCTGGTAGCTCAAGTCCTGAGAACCAGAGGTCAGACAAACAAGAGCCAGCTGCAGGATTCAGTGAAAGCCAAAAGCCCGAGTCTTGTCAGAAAGTCTGCTTATATTCGATGCAGGCCACATGCCCAAGGAAACTCCCTTTCAACTGATTGGCTACTAACAGCAGATCCCATCATGGGGGTGAGCACATATGGAATCTCAACAGGGAAGTGATCACAACATTATAGTACTGCCAAAACACTGAGAATCATGGCCTAGCCAAGATGACACACAATCTTAACCATCACACTTACTTCCAGGTTTTAAAGGAATACACCCATATTTCCTTTCAGTATTTGTATTAAAAAAACCCATTGCCATCGAGTCAATTCTGACTCATAGTGACCCTATAGGACAGAGTAGAACTGCCCCATAGGATTTCCAAGGAGTGACTGGTAGATTCAAACCGCCAAACTTTGGGTTAGCAGCCGAGCTCTTAATATATTTAGATACCTGATTCATTTGGAGTAAAGTTTTCTTCAACTGTGCATATATGGTTTTTGCACATTTCTTGTCAAACTTATTCCTATGCCTTTTATCTTTTTGCTGCTATTGTAAATGAGGTTTCTCTTCCAAAATATCTTCTAACTGGTTAATAACTGTATATAAGAAAATTATTTATTTATATTAATTTTATTTCCTGCCAGTTTACAGAAATATTTGTTGTTTATGACATTTATCCCATTGATTCTTTTGAGTTTTCCATGTATATAATCATCTGTCTCATTTCTAATTCTTAGGTCTCTAACTGCTTCTCTTACTAAATGAAATTGGCTAATACTTCCGGCAAGTTGTTAACTAATCTTGGCAATAGCGGGTATCCTTATCTCATTTCTGAGTTTAGTGGGAATAACTCTCGTGTTCCCCCAAAGAGAGATGCTGGCTTTAGGGCTGGGCTTTGTGCGTGTTTGTGTGTGTGTAATTATGTTAAAAAAATAATTTATTGATTTTTATTTTATTAAGTGAGATTTGCTTTTTTTAAAAAAAAATCAGTCATGGAGACTGATTTTTGTCAGATTTATTTTTAGCATCAAAGGAGATGACTGTATAATTTTTCTTTGTAAATTTAGTATTTAGTATTAACAGAATTCCTAGTATTTAATCATCCCTGCAAACCTGGAATAAACCCCACCTGGCCATTATATGCTTTTGGAGTCTGTGTGATGATATTTAGAAATTTTTCCCTTATTATTTGTGAGATTAGGATCTGGTTTTCTTTTATTGGCTACCATCTTAATCATTTTAATATCAATTTTATATTCACTTCATAAAACTAATCTGAAAGTTTTCCTTTATGTTCTATGTCTAGATATTTAAAGTAATGTTGAAATTATCTGTTTTTTGAAGGTTTGTCATAATCTTCCCTGTGAAATCATCTCTGAATATGTTCATTTGTACTTCTAGCCCAATCCAACGTCCTGGAAGACCAAGGGCTCTAGGCAAAGAGGTAGGAAGTAGGGCTCCAGGTGCAGATGGGGGCAGGGGATGGTTGATGGTATAATCACATCTGGGATGAAAGAGGAAAAGGGGAGGGGGCAATGTGGGTGGGTGTGGGCTGTGAAAAAAAGGCTGCAGAAGTTTACGCTGAGGAGAAAGGATCAGTTGCTTCTTCCCAAAGATTTTTCTCTTGACTCTGCATTCCAACCTCTCCTGGCAGTCTCTGTCTTATTTTCACAGCTGGGAAGGCAAAGGAAATCTCCCACAGTTCACTGAACCCCTTGGAAGCCTTTGTGGGGGATCCTCAGAGTCACCTCACTCGAGGGAGCTTGTATAAACAAGAGCTGGTGATCTGACCCCAGAATTCTCCCTCTTTGCATTCACCATGAGCCAGTTTCAGCCAACATGCCCTGTGGCTCACAGTCTTATTAATAAGCCTTAGATCATAGACATTCCTTTCATGTTGAGTCTTTGATTTTCTGAGGCTGCTCTCAAGGGTCTTTCAAATGACCACCCACCCCACTGCTCAGATAACTCAGCTGTGAGGTGGCTTTGCATGGCTGTGAGGCAGATGGGGGCAAAGGCTCTTCCTGGGGCCCAGCCCCGAGCTGCCACACCCTCTTCTCTCCTTCACTTCCTGTCTCCCATGCCCCCTCAACCCTCTGTGGATTGTGCCATTGTCCACAAAGCTAGAGGAAGCAGAGGTGTCCTTATCCCCTCCTCCAAAATATAGTTGGCCACCAGGAGGCACTGGTCTACACAGCAGGAAGTGGAAGCTCTTGGGATGAGAAAGTCATCTTTCTCCTGCAGCTGCAGGGTGTTGCACCAGAGGTGAAAGAAGACAGTTCTGATATTCCTGGAGCTCCCTCCTCCCCCTCTCCCCCAATTTCTAAGCCAGAGGGCAGATTGGAGAGGCTGAAGACACTGTTGAGAGTCTATGCCCTGAGAGAACATAGGCTGTGTTTCCACACAAATCACAGGCCTGTGGGAACAAACACTCACAGCTCCCCCTTGTCCAGTGCTTGTGATCCCTGCCAAGGCACAGGTTCCTGGGGTTGTGCCAGGGGAACGGCTGTGGGCTCATCTGGGGCTCACAGGTGAGGAAGGCTGGGCTGCTGAAGGAGGTGAGGGGCCTGGTGAGTGTTTTACACTGCAGGCCAGACTCCTTCCCCTTTGGAGTGCAAATGAAGGCCCTGCACTGGCACCTACACCCAGGCAGCTGTGTCAAGGCTAACCAGAGCTGTCCCGCCCACACACTCAAAAGTCAAGTCAGAAACATTAGTGTGGCTCATTTTAGAGCCTTTAAATGGAAATGTGAGTCAGCACTTGACTGACCTCAGAGGTGTGTGCTGTGGGGCTGCTGATGGCCCCAAAGGTTCAGGGTGGCCCTGGGAGCCCTGGCTCAGACCCGTCCTCACAGCCGTGCAGCTGAGCTCCGGCTACCCTGTCACTGAATGGGCTGCAGACCAGTGAGGGTTCCAGGTGGAGTCCCTACGAGGAGGCTCACAGAGGGACTTACGGACGGTTCCTTGGGGGAGGCTATGCTGTCATTTGTCTCCCTTCAAGCAGCCTGGTGCAGTGGTTCACTTTTCTGCAGGCATATGTATCCTCAGATTCTTTTATCTGACTCCTGAGACAGAATGAAGGGGTCGGGTGCAACCCTGACCTTGAAATCAGAAACCAGGTTTTAGTTCTGGTGGAATACATCACATAGATTGAGAGGGATATTCTCCTCCGGTTTTCCTAACTAATATTATTACCAATGCTACTATGATTAATTGACCCCCTTGTATGTGCCAGGCACTGTGCTAAGCGCCTTATCAAATATTTGCAGATGAGGAAACTGAGACTTAAGAAGGTTCACCAGCAGGATGGATTTGGACCCAGGTTATTCCTTACTCCAGTTCGTTAACCACCAGCCTCGATTGTCTCTTAAGGACCTCTTTGATCTAAGTGGACTTTACTGTGCTCCTCTTTGGATTGATTGCATAGAAGCAAATGGAAAAACTCTTTAACTATTTTTTTTTAATCCAGTGTAAATTTCTTCTTTGGAATTCTCACTGTGTCAGACTGGTCTCAACCTCTATGGCTCCATCCACTCCCACTGCAGAAACACAGGCTGTAAACTCCTTATAGCACAAACTCCAATGTCTGTCTGGCCCAGGGCTGTACTCTGACTGGCTGCTCTTGGCTGTGTCCTCTACCCTCCTTTTGGAAACATCTCTCTGGTTCAGCCACAGTATCCTTCCTCAGACACACGTTAGTTATCACTGCTCCCTCAGCTGACGATTGACAACAGCAGGAGGGGATGTATCTTGATGTGAGCCTTGGAGGACAAAATTTTGGTAGGCAGAGAGAAGTTGGTGAACATATACAGTCTAAGGGGCTGGGGGGTGGGTCATGGGTCATGGTGTAGAGTCAAGAGTGGGTAGAAACAGGGAAGGGAGGGAACTATCTGACTGAGATGGAGCACCCTGCAGGGGAGAAGTAGGACAGGAGCCTGGAAAATGTGGACCCAGGTACTGGGCTGGAATGGAAGGGTGGAGCACCAAGCTTAGGAAGTCCACTTCCCCCTGTCATTGTGGAGTTGCAGATTTTTAGGGTTTAAATTGTGAAGCATGCCCAAGGCAAGCAAAAACCCCAGAGGTAGATGACTGTGGACCCTCCTCGTCTCCTCAGAGTGTGGCTTCACCAGACAGCAAGCTTTAACTGTAAACTCCTTGAGGACAGAGGCTGGAATTGTTCATCTCCATTTCTGCAGAGACTGCTGTTGAGTCTGGTGCTTCATAGGCACTGGGGGCTGGTCAAATGAACTAAAAAAGGTAGGAAGAGAGAGAGGGAAAGAGGGAAGAAAGAAGCAAGGGGAGGATGAAGGGAGGACGGGTGGGTCCACAGTTGGATCTGTGATGAGCTGGGAGCTCCAGACAAATGTCAACCAATCTCTTCCCCAGGTCAGGCCACTGGGGCTAGTCCTCTTTTTGCCAGCTCTCATGGGGCCATCCTGCACAAGAAAAACTCATCTTTCTGGTCTCTTCTGATTCAACTGGGTTAGAGAGATGAAACCAGAATTTAACAAAGTCTCCGTCCAGATAAACAAGACAGAGAAAACAAGATTTGAGGAGAGGACTCCATTCAAGGGAGAGTTGCTCTGTTTGTCTCAGACCTTAGTTCCACCCATGTCTTGTTCCCAAAGTAAATGACTCTTGCTCACTGGCTCATTAGTGGCTCATTTCTGGCCTATAAGCACCCAAACCTCAAGCTCCCTGCTGTTGCATGCTTTTCAGCAGGCTGAGTCAGGGGAGCCCAGCGAGCTCTGCAGAATCTTGGGCATTGCACAGATGCCTTTGAGCTCTTTAGATAAAGAATGATTAAAAAAATAAAGGTACATTAAGACATAATTTAAAAACAATACATTGTAATAGCAATCTAATACCAATGTACCTCTAACCACATTTTTTTTGTTGTTTATTTTTTAACGTGTTTCCTGTGGCTCGCAGTTGGTATATAGTTGGTGTAGTTGTTAAGAACTCTGTCTTTGACATTGTTTTTGCTGAACTTGGTTTTTCCGAGACCCTCTCTCCTCATAGGCTCAGTTTCACCCTCCCATCTGCGGTCAGCCAGTTTCAGTGGCAGAAGAGGCCACATCTGCTTCCTGTAGGCCCTGGGCAGAAGCATGCAGTGGTGTCTCTTCCTCATATGGGCCCAGGGCCTGAGGCAGGCTCCCCTTCCCGCCTCAGGTAAGGCCTAAAAATTTACCCTGGTGAAGAGCTGGGAGCAGAGAAGGGGAGAATGAGGTTGAATACATCATGGAGAGCGGAGGGCTCAGGCAAGGAAGGCTGGGAGGGAAGGCCACACTGGTTTGAGGGAAGAAAACACTCTGTTTTCAAAGAGTCCTGTGTACCATCTTGTGAGAAAAGGCAATTTCTGAGAACGAGGATTAATTCTGCTTTGGGAGGCAGGTGATGGACCTTGAAAACCCTCAGGGTTCGGGGGAATGACTGGTTGACCCAAGAAAGAAATAGGGGAAGAGAAAGAGACTAAGGAGGAATGACCAGTTTTTGCTTATAGAAGTTTGCTTCTATTTATCTCTTTTCTTTCTCCTTTTCTTCTGTCCTTGGGGATAGAAAAACATGAACATTCCAGGAAAACACTGTAAGTAGTTCTCTGTGGATCAAAAAAATGTCTTTACAGATTCCAGACAGTCTACCGTTAGAGATTGAACTCATGTTGAATTTATTTCCTTCTACCTTAAAAATTGTAAGCAAATGTTTCTGACAGGGAGGACACAGATATTTAAAAACTGTAGTATAAATGTGTTTTTATGTTGCTTTCTGAACCATCTGAGGGTGAAGAGATACTCAGAGCGTGCTGGGAGCGGTAAGCGCTGAGGAGGGTGGTTTTTCCTCAAGCCTCTTCCCTTAGATTTCTTGGCTTTTCTAAAGGTTTTTTTTTTAAACACCCTAAATGGCAATCAACCAAATGCTGGTAGATGCTGTCGAGTGATTTTGACTCATAGCGACCCTACGTGACAGAGTAGAACTGCCCCATAGGGTTTTCTAGGCTGTAATCTTTATGGGAGCAGATCACCAGGTCTTTCTCCTGCGGAGCCTCTGAGTGGTTCAAGCCAAGCACTTAACTGTTGCACCACCCAAAAGCCAAAAACCAAACCCTGTTGCCATCGAGTTGATTCCGACTTATAGTGGCCCTATAGGACAGAGTGGAACTGCCCCCATAGGGTTTCCAAAGCTGTAATCTTTATGGGAGTAGATTGCCACATCTTTCTCTCTTGGAGCAGCTGGTGAGTTCGAAACACCAACCTTTTGGTTAGCAGCGGAGTGCTTAACCATCGTGCCACCAGGGCTCCTTAATCAACCAAATAGATATTATTTCAAAGAATGTTGCACCCAGAGTAGAACTAGACTGTGGAAGATAAACAAAAACAAAAAAAAACAAAATTGAAAAACACCAAAAAAAAAAAAATCCCCCAAGCTAGAAGAGGCGGTGTTGGCTGACAAGGGCTTATATTCTAAGTAGGGAGACAAAATAAGCACGTGAAAGTAATCAATGATCTGATTCACTGCATCATGTTACAGCAGAGAGTACCGAGAGAGCTTAGTACTGAGTTAGGTAGTAACAAGCAGGCATGGAATAAAATGCTAATTATACAATACAGACAGCAGGTGTGAAAGGGAAAGGACACTCACTCTAGTTTGGGGTCACCAAGGAGGTGGGGAGGCTTTGATAAGCCCTTAGTGGGGGCAGGAGGAGAAAGCCAGAAGCAAGCTGTAGAAGCAGAGGCCATGGGAGCAAAGGAGATCGTCTGGACTGGAGCAGAGGTGTTGGACAGGGAAGAAGGCTGGAAAGGGGATGCAGGGCGGGGCTGGGAGCCTGGAGGCAGGCACAGAGGGGACTGTATCTTTAAATGGGGGCAAGTGAAAACAACTGTCCTCTCTATGGGGGAGTGACAGGATGGACTGGAGAAACTATCATTCCAAAATCCAATTCCGGCCTCAAAGCCCCTTGGAGTATTTCCACAGGAAGTTTCAAGGCCAGCTGTTGTCCGGGACTGACTCATGCGTGATTTTCTCCCTTCCCTAGGAGCCGTGGTAGGGAGAATAGTAACAGCGGGGAACATTTCTGCAGAGGAAGGCGACTCTGTCACTTTACAATGTCACCTCACTTCCACCATGGCTACAGTGACCCAGGTCAGCTGGGAGCGGCTGGACCAAACTCTGGCCATTCATCATGCTGAGCTGGGGTGGTACATTAAACCATGCTTCCAGGAACGAGTGGTGCCAGGGCCTGGTCTGGGCCTCACACTCCAGCTGCTGACCACCAATGACACAGGGGAGTACTTCTGCATCTATCATACCTTCCCCGACGGCATTTACCGAGAGAGACTCTTTCTGGCGGTCCTGGGAAGTTCAGGTATTTCCTCTCGGAGTAGAAAATGCCATCATGAAGCACCGTGTAGAGCAAGGCTTCTCAGCCCTGGATTGCATGTAACGTGGGAGCTGTTAAATAGTACTGCTTCCTGGTCCCACCCAGACAAATTAAATCACAATCTCTAAGGATAGAACCTGGATGGCAATGTTTTAGAAGTGTTCCAGGTGGTTCTAATGTGCAGCCAGGATTGAGAACCATGGTCCTTGGATAGCACCACGTGTCTGTCAGTTTGTCGCACTGTGGGGGCTTGCGTGTTGGTGTGATGCTGGAAGGTGTGCCACTGGTATTTCAAATACCAGCAGGGTCACCCATGGTGGACAGACTTCATTGGAGCTTCCAGACTAAGACAGACTAGTAAGAAATAACCTGGCAATCTACTTCTGAAAAAATTGGCCAGTGAAAACCTTGGCTAAGAAGTGTATCTTATTTAAATTTACTAGGAAGACCGGTTAGTGAGTCACTTGGGAAAGGTCCTCATTTTTTTGGTTTAGCATTAAGCATGCAAATTAGCCCATAAGTTTATAAAGATTACAAGTTGCTGTTGAGTCAGTTCTGACTCATGGAGACCCAGTGTGTCAGAGTAGAACTGTGCTCCATAACAGAGACTTAACTGGGGGGGAGGGGCAGGTAGGGCTTGCCCCTGGACTTCGCTTGTGTTGGGGTGTTGGGGTGCCCATTAGCAGTTTCTATTGGCCTTCACAGTTTCCATCGCCAGCTGTGAGAAATCATTCAGCAATTTAACACTAACTTGCCCTAGGCACTATTTTCCATGGTTTGGCCCCTGGTCCATAGGGTTTTCAATACCTGACTTTTCTGAAGTTGATTGCCAGGTCTTTCTTCTGAAATGTCTCTGGGTAGACTTGAACCTCTAACCTTTTGTTTAGCAGCTGAGCGCTTTAACCAATTTAACTGTTAAGAACTGGTAAAAAACAAAGCACAGTGTGTGCTAAGTGTAAAATGTACAATAATTACATTAGCATATTATTTTTAATAGGTTATCTACCTAAACATGCAAATCAATTCTCTGGAAGGTGGGAAAGGATTATTTATCATATTTTATAGCAGAGTGGTTAAGAGTTCAGACTCTAACAGCAGACTGTTGTTATTAGGTGTCATTGAGTCGATTCTGACTCATAGCGACCCTTTTAGGACGTAGTAGAACTGCCATATAGGGTTTCCTTGGTTGTAATATTTACAGGAACAGATTGCCAGGTCTTTTCTCCCACACAGCATTTGCGGGGTTCAAATTGTCGACCTTTCAATTAGCTGCCAAATGCTTAACCATTTTGGCATCAGGGCTGTGTTCAAATTTTGGCTCTGCTGTTGACCTCAGGCGAGGTTGTTTAACTTCTCTATGCATCAGTTTTATCCTGTGTGAAATGGGGATAGTTGCAGATCTTGTGAGGTGCAAAAGTAGGATTAAATTGCTTAATATAAGGAGATGCACTTAGAACACTACCCGGAACATGGTGAGCACTGTATAGTTCCCATTTGATGGTTGGATAGAAGGGGAAGCTGAGGCTTGGAGATATTCAGAGGGATGAGCTGATTTTAACACAGGTGTTCTGGTTCTGCTAAATGACACCCTCAGAACTTCTATTTACTGCCATCAATTGTGTTGGAGATTAAGTTGTATGAGTTGGCAAAATATGTGGAAACCAAGACGTTCCTTGGGCTTCCTTGAAGCAATCAGGCTGGTTACCAGATGTGTTAAGTGACTTTGCCATTTGCTAGCTGTGAAGAAGAATGAAGCATCAAGATTGGAAGAAGACCCATTAACAACCTGCGATATGCAGATGACACAGCCTTGCTTGTTGAAAGCAAAGACACTTGAAGAACTTACTAAAGATCAGTATAGATTACACCTCAATATAAAGAACACAAAAATCCTCACAACTGGACCACTAAGCAACATCATGATTAACAGAAAATATTGAAGTTGTCAAGGATTTCATTTTGCTTGGATCCATAATCAACACCCACTGAAGCAGTAGTCAAGAAATCAAATGATATATTGTATTAGGCAATGCTGCAAAAGACCCCTTTCAAATGTTAAAAAGCGAAGATGTCACCTTGAGGACTAAGGTGCGCCTGACCCAAGCCATTGTGTTTTCTATCGCCTCATATGCATGTGAAAACTGGACAATAAATAAGGAAGACCGAAGAAGAATTGACGCTTTTGAATTATGATGTTGGTGAAGAATATTGAGTGTGGACTGCCAGAGTAACAAACAAATCTGTCTTGCAAGAAGTACAGCCAGAAGGGTCCTTAGAAGTAAGGATGGTGAGGCTTTGTCACACATACTTTGGACATGTTATCAGGAGGGATCAGTTCCTGGAGAAGGACATTATGCTTCGTGAAGTAGAAGGTCAGCTAAAAAGTGGAAGACTCGTAATGAGACGGATTGACACCGTGTCTACAACAATGGGCTCAAGTATAGCAATGATTGTGAGTTTGGCACAGGACCTAGAAGTGTTTTGTTCTGTTGTACATGGGGTCACTATGAATTGGAAATGACTCAACGGCACCTACCAACAACAGCTGTGTGAACCTGAGGAAGTTGCTCACCCACTGGGATCCTCAGTAACTTACCTCCAAGGTTGTGAGAGTAAATGAGAGAAGTATGTAAAACGATTTTCTCATGGTTTAGGAGGCTTGTTGGTGGCATTGGGTCGGTTCCGACTCATAGTGACCCCGTGTATAACCAAACTTATTTTTTCACTGTTTAGGATGCTAGAAGTTGGAATTCAGGGCACTGGCTGAATTCAGGGAAGACTCCCCTCTCCACACCCCCCACCCCCTGCTATGGGGGAAGATCCTTGTCTCAGCTTCTTTAGCCTGGCAGCCCTTAGTTTGTTTGTTTGTTTTTTTAATTGTACTTTGGATGAAAGTTTACAGAACAAACTAGTTTCTCATTAAACAGTTAGTACACATATTGTTTTCCAACATTGGTTAACAAGCCAATGACATGTCAATACTCTCCCTTCTCAACCTTGGGTTCCCTATTGCCAGCTTTCCTGTTCCCTTCTGCCTTCTAGTCCTTGTCCCTGGGCTGTTGTGCCCCTTTAGTCTCGTTCTGTTTTATTGGCCTGTCTAATCTTTGGCTGAAGGGTGAACCTCGGGAGTGACTTCATTATTGAGCTAAAAGGGTATCCGGGGGCCATACTCTCAGGGAGGGTTTCTCCAGTCTCTGTCAGGCCAGTAAGTCTGGTCTTTTTTTGTGAGGTAGAATTTTGTTCTACATTTTTCTCCAGCTCTGGCGGGGACCATCTATTGTGACCCCTGTCAGAGCAGTCAGTGGTGGTAGCTGGGCACCATCTAGTTGTACTGGACTCAGTCTGGTGGAGGCCATGGTAGTCATGGTCCATTAGTCCTTTGGACTAATCTTTCCCTTGTATCTTGTTTTTTTCAATCTCCCTTGCTCCCGAAGTGGTGAGACCAGTGGAGTATCTTAGATGGTCCCTCACAAGCTTTTAAGACCCCAGACTCTATTCGTCAAGGTAGAATGTAGAACACTTTCTTTATAAACTGTGTTATGCCAATTGAGTTAGAGGTTCCCTGAGGCCATGGTCTCCACAGCCCTCAGCCAAGCAATTCGGTCCCACAGGGAGTTTGGATGTGTCTATGGAGCTTCCATGACCTTGCCTTGTACAAGTTATGCTGGCTTCCCCATATTGTGAACTGTCTTAGCCTTCACCAAAGTTACCACTTGACTATTGTCTATTTCATGTCCCCCCTCACCCCTCCCCTCCTCTCCCTCGTAACCATCAAAGATTGTTTCTTTTTGTGTGTAAACCTTTACATGAGTTTTTATAGTAGTTCTCTCATATAATATTCATCCTTTTGTGACTGACTTATTTCACTCAGCATAATGCCCTCCAGATTCATCCATATTATGAGATGCTTTGCAGATTCATCATTGTTCTTTATTGTTGTGTAATACTCCATTGTGTGTATGTACCATAGTTTGTTTACCCATTCATCTGTTGATGGGCATCTAGGTTGTTTCCATCTTTTTGCTATTGTGAACAATGCTGCAGTGAACATGGGTGTGCATATGTCTATTCGTGTGATGGCTCTTATTTCTCTAGGCTATATTCCTAGGAGTGGGATTGCTGAATCCTAGGGTATTTATATTTCTAGCTTTCTAAGGAAGTGCCATATCGTTTTCCAAAATGGTTGTATCATTTTGCATTCCCATCAGCAGTACATAAGAGTTCCTATCTCCCCGCAGCCTCTCCAACATCTGTTATTTCCTGTCTTTTTGATTTGTACCAGTAACGCTGGGGTGAGAAGATATCTTAATGTGGTTTTGATTTGCATTTCTCTAATGGCTAGTGATTGCAAACATTTCCTCATGTGTCTGTTGGCCACTTGAATGTCTACTTCGGTGAAGTGTTTGTTCATTTCCTTTGCCCATTTTTTAACTGGATTATTTGTCTTTTTGTTGTAGAAGTTTTGGATTTTCTTGTAGATTTTAGAGATTAGAACTTTGTCTGATTTGTAATGGCCAAAAATTTTTCCCAGTCTGTAGGTTTTCTTTTTACTCTTTTAGTGAAGTCTTCTGATGAGCATAAGTGTTTGATTTTTAGAAGATCCCAGTTATCTAGCTTACTTCTGGAGTTTATGTGTTGTTTGTTATGGTTTGTATCCTGCAAATGCCATGTATTAGGGCCTCTAGCATTGATCCTATTTTTTCTTCTATGAACTTTATAGTTTTTGGCTTTATATTTAGGTCTTTGATCCATTTGGAATTAGTTTTTGTATATGGTGTGAGGTATGGGTCCTGCTTCATTTTTTTGCAGATGGACATCCAGTTTTGTGAGCACCATTTGTTAAAAAGACTGTCTTTTCCCCATTTTATGGATTCTGGGCCCTTGTTGAAGATCAGGTGACGGTAGGTGCATGGATTTACATCTGGGTTCTCAATTCTGTTCCATTGGTCAACGTATCTGTCATTGTACCAGTTCCAGGCTGTTTT